TGTTAAAATTACATTAAACTACTTCTCATATAGAACAAGCACATGGTCTACTTTTTAATGAATTACCAATGGTTATATAGGCTAATTATGCATTCTTTAGAGGCAACTTGTTTACCATATTCTTCATTCTTTCAAGCAGACATATTTATTTCTATAAATAAATTTAGATTAATCTTTTCAGTCAAGAGCAGTGCATGATTTTCTGTATTTCTTTTGTTGCTTGATTAACATCAATGACTCGGACAATCGACATCATTTTGTGTGTAATTCTCCATTCATGCGACGCGAAAGAGTATAGTGTCTGCGCTCAGAAAACCAGACCGAATTGAGTTCTCTCTAGCGTCGTCAGATTTATCCATATGTTTGCTCTTCCCTTACTCCCACATATTGACATTTTTTTAACGTTTTATGAGACGTGCAGCAAGTGTATGTTAGCTTATGTCCCGCTGGTTCATATGTACGCATCTACCCTCCGAACCATGCAGCAGATTCGTTCTGAATGAATCTCTTCCCAAATCGTCCCTCCCGAACATTTTCGTCTCGTTTTTATTCGTTAACAAAAATGTCAATAGATTCACGTCATAGTTTTTGTTATTCAAAAAGAGTTTTAGTTCGTTATCGTTTCGTTGTCGTCTGTGAAAAAATGTTGTTGACGACAATTATGACGAAAATTATTCGTCAACTAAATTAACACTGGACGACCGCACAGAGTAGCATTATAACAAAAGTTTCAAACGTATCTAGTATGATAAAACAGCTCTGCTTTTTTACCCCACATACGCACGACCGGAAGGAGCGGAAGCGGTTGACTGTGGTTTAATAAAAGCTCCGCTGCTTTCGAGCCGTGTGTGTCACGCTCGCTCAGCGGCCTCGTTTTGCTTCGACGGCTTTCAGCCTCACCCTGCTTCATTCTACTACGTCAACAAATCATTAGCTCGTCCATGAACATGATTTCTGCCCGAGTCCCATCGGATTGCATCGGCTGTGGGGATGAAGACGACGACTCCCATGATTCCACACTCAGTCACGGCGTTATCTAACTACGCCTTGGTCTCTTTGTTTATTTTGAATATGTGCCCTTTAGCGGCGAAAATTAGATATTGTGCCTTTAAATTTAGGTATTGGGTAGGATTAAAGATATAGAATATGGTCATGCAGAATATTTGCTTTATAAGTGCTAGTGTTGGGCGACATGCTCAATTTTCATATCGTCCTGTCCTCAGCCTGTGAGATCGCAGATACAGGATATTATCGTGCTAATTTATTTCATTATTTATTTACTTAGTTTCATTGTGGTGTTGTGCCCATTTTCGACCCCCTGCAAAATGATTACCCCTCTGGTTGAAATCGCTATCTGATTGCCTAATCCTAGCCCCTCCCTCACACTTAACCCGAAACCTAACAATACTAGGGGGGTAATAATCTGGCAGGGGTCAGAATTGGGCACAACACCTGAAAGTGAACCAACTCCAGCGTAAGGCTAAAAGCAGCCTAATGGTTTTTAATATGACTGAATTTGTATTTAACATGATAACAAATTAATAGATACATCGCAAGTTACTCATTATAATGCTTACATTTCCTCAGTTATTCAAAAAGCAGCAACAGAAAACGAGCAAAGAACATTACATTACCAAAGAACATCATCACAAGCTCAGTCTAGCGCGAGTTTATGCACTTTAAAAACACTCCCATTATAATCAGTGAATCTACACTGTATGATGAATAAATCTCTTATACTTGCATCGCACGTACATCTACCTGCACCTTGTTGTTTATGATGAGAGAATTCACGAGTCAGAATTCAGTCAGCACGCGCTGAACAACGACGATTTATCTGAACGCATCTGATTGGTCATTGCATTCATAAACTCAGCATAATCGTGTGTGATTGGTTATAACACGCAACACTGTAAAAACGCGGATAAAGAAATATAATGCAACAAATACGCCCTCATATTAATTAGATAGTATTACTAGTCTGATGATGATAATAATAATAATCGTCTGGCTATCGTCAAAGGCAATATCTCTGACTATCATCGATACACGATACTATCCTCTATCGGCACAACCCTAATAAGTACTAATAAACAGCCAATATGTTAGTAATAGGCATGCTAATAAGCAACTAGTTAATAGTGAAAATTGGTCCTTAAACTAAAGTGTTATAGATACAACTTTTCATTTTATTAATGCATTAGTAAATGCTGGAATCACTAAGATTAATAAAGGCTTTAGAAGTATTTTTCATTGTGTTAACTAATGTGTTTAACTAATGTCAACAAATGCAACCTTATTGTGAAGTGTTACCAAAAATGTTTTAAAAATCTAGCTGAAGTTCAGAAATATGTATTTTCTGTATTCATGTTGGTTTCATATGGTTTTGAAAATCATTTATACCATTTACAGGAAGAGTGTACGCAACTTCATATTAAAAAAATTGTTTTCAAATGTCATTTTGAATATAAAAACATATTTTTATACAAATATGACATTCTTAATTTATAATATCATTAAGTTTTGAGCCTACCTGTATGCTCTTCTCACAGTCGGTCTGCTGATGCAGCAGTAGCTCGCTCTCCATTAGGAAGCGTTTGCCACACTTGTCACAGATATGCATGAGGTTATGTGTCACGTTCATGTGTTTCTCCAGGTGCCAGCGGTTGTTGAATGTCTTGGGGCACCACACACAGGTGAAGCTCTGAAACTCTAAGCTATCCTGGTCCAGATGCTCCTCACCGTTTCCTCCATGAGCTGTCTCTTGCCTCCCTCTCACACGTTTTCTCTTGGAGACCATCGTGACAGCATCACTGGAGGCCCGGGTTTGTCGTACTGGTCTTTCAGACATGAATGCAGGTAATGTGTATTCACCTTCCTCTTCACTGGTGCCTTCAAGTCTCACATCATCATCTTCACTTTGCTCACATTCATCTTCCTCCTCCTCTAAAGCCACATTGTCTCTTGATTCCTCAACATTCTCATTACTCCTCCTTCCTTTGCCAGGAAGCTGTTGTCCTGAGGGCGACTGAACTGCCGCGTTTCCCTCTAAACCTTTGGACACATTAAGCGTTTGGTTGTTCAGGTTCAGCTCTACAATAATTTGCTCTCTATTAAATGAATCAAGATCTTCAGGGTCCTTCAGGTTTTCAGTTTCCTTCCCTTCTACTTTACAAGCACCTACTTGCACTGGATGCCCATCGCCAACCTGAACAGCACATGGGTTTGCTTCACTTTTCCCTCCATGGATCCTGGCACAGGTCGGGTCCTTCTCTTGCTTGATCTCCATGTGAAAGTTGGAGTTCACCGAGTTGCTGTTGCTCCAGCTCTGAGCGCTGACTTCCTGTTTGGTTTGGTCCACAGAGGGACTGAGTTCCAGCGAGCCTCTAGAAATGAGTTCATTGCAGGAAGTGGCGATGTTACTCATCTGGAGCACTGTGGCAGCCTTGAGCACATCTTGGGCATTGCAGCTGGAGACCAGCAGCTTGGAGGTGTAGATGAAGTTGAGGATTTGCTGCAGGCCTTGAGGCTTGAGGGTCTCCAGAGAAAGTTCCACGCGCCGCAGCTCCTTACTCGATGCAAACAGTGAGTGGAAGAAGGGGCTGTAGGCTGCTAGGACACCCTTATGGGCCTGGAAAGAAGTCTGGTGGTGCAGGAGGACAATGTCTACGTCACATAGATCTGGCTGAAACAGACGCTGCTTGTTCAACCTGTCCATTAAAAAGGTGCAGTGAAGGGCCACATCCTCAACGAGGGAGAGCTCTGCAGATGGATGCTCAGAAGTTTTCTCCACTATGAGCTACAACAGAACATCAGATTGAATTGAGATGCACATCAACTTTATAATTTAAATATTAGATATTGATTGACATTGCAATCAAACAACAGGCTGGTGTTAATTGTCATTTAAACGGTAACTGTCAAGCAAATTATTATTTTTAAATTCTAGTTCTAATATTATAAAACTATTATTATATTATATTATATAAAGATGACTTATACACTTTTTGTTACATGTTTTCTTTAAAATGCCAAGCTTGATATTTTGACTGTGAAGCTGCCTTTGTATGTTTTATACAGATGGTCCCTCACAAAGAAAATATATTATATTATATTAATGACATCTCAATATATAATATTATATGTTATATACAAAGTCTCCTCTAAATTATATAAAGGTTTTCCAGCTGTCATAATATAATAATCCAATTATGCAGACAGGTAACCAGTGAACATATCTGAAAAATATATTATCAAAACACATAAGAATGTATGTAAGTACTGTATCTATCTATCTATCTATATAAACTTATTTTCTTTCAAATGTCAAGCTTGATATTTCTCTCTAAATGTATAGCTGCTTTTATATTATATTTTATAAAGACGGTCCCACACAAGGAAATGTATATATTATATTACAATATTTTATATGCTATGTACAGAGTATCTAAACGGCACACAGACTTTCCAGCTATTATAATAGTCATCCAATTATACAGAGAAGATATCTGAAATAATATATTTTCTATTTATTATTATATATTTATTTTTAAAATAGATTTATTAAATAAAACATTCTATTTTATTTCTTTTATAATGTCAAATTGTTCTTTTGTTTAATTATATTATTATATGTCCTAGTTCTACTATATGTATATACTAACATTATTACAAACAGATAACAATTCTCATTTAAGTTACAGTATTCTCCAAAGTCATGAATTGAGACAGGTACACTCAGAAAAAAATGTGCAAAGAAAATGTACCTTTAGGGGGTACAACAGCTTGTAACTGGGGAAACGGACACCTTTGTTCCTTCTGTACCACTAAAGGGTTCATAATAGTACCATAAAAGTACATTTTACTACCTTTAGGGACGGTACATATTACTACTCTAAGGTGCTAATATGCACGCTTTAGGGGTAAAAAAGACACAAAGGTGTTCCTTTAAGGGTACTGCCCCAGTGGCAAACAGTTGTACGCCTAAACGTACAATTTTTGCACGTTTTTTTCTAAGTGTAGATTTAGTTAAGGTTTATATTGAAAATTGAACAGATGATTCAATAATAACATGAATTACATCAGCATCTTATCAAAAAGTAGCAAAAAGTTGTTGAAGCTCTCGACAGATGTGGAAGCTGCACGACATCAGCACATCTGCACGACATGCACATCATCTTTCAGATGTGACTGATGTCTGTCAGACTCTACAGGCCGACCGAGTAAACGTTCAGAGACATGCAGGTAACAAAAACAGTCAGAGAAGGGTCTTACTACCATGGTGATTCAGTGCTCTATACCGTCTCCCCTCCTTAGCATTTCTCAATGCTTCGTTTTCATGAAATTAGCTGTCATTTATATCCGCTCTGCGCTCTTCTAGACATTTTAGACATCTGTCCTTTTTCGCCATGTCCGCATGCAGAAGGACTCGCACTCTCGGCCGGGGGAGTGATGATGATGATGATTGGAGGTCGAAAATCATATGGGTCGTTTTGTCTGGAGCATTAAAGCGACAGGGACGGGATTAAACGAGGGAAAACCACAATCCGCAGCTTTCGAAGCGAAATTATGGTGACAAATGGCAGTATAATCGCTTAGGAAGAACACATTTTTGGATGTGTTCAAACGGTCTCCTTGAGCACCTGGCGCCCGCTGCGCAGTCGGAGCCCATGGCAGCGGGGTCAGCGAGTCCACAGCGGAGCGGAGTGAACCGGTTCACCGCAGACAGCGCCACACTGCGGCCACACGGTGTCGCTAGAACACAGCTTTTCGTTGGACACTTTTATCGACGGCATCGTTTCACTCACAGCTGTGCCTGAGATGTTGGCAGGTCCCTCCAGAACATTAAAATCTGGTTTGTCGAACCAAAAAGCAAAAGTGTTTATTAGTGTCAGACTTTATCCAAGACTTGGTCCACAAGTCCCTGCTGGTCTATAGCTGGTTGGCTGGTCTTAGCTGGTTTAAGCTGGAAGTATTTTAGCTGGTCTCCCAGCCTGACCAGCTAAAGAAGTGGTAGAAACCCCTCTAAAACCAGCCTACTGACCAGCTATGACCAGGCTGGATGATCAGCTAAAACCAGCTGACCAGTTTAGGCTATTTAGTATAATTTTAGGCCTATCTAGTAGTGTTTAGTAGGGGTTTAGTTCTGTAGTGTAGTGCAGCTGACATTAGTTCTGCAGAGGTCAGTTTACTGAGTGTATGTTTTGGTTAATTTAATGTTTTTAGGGTTTGATGGGGAAGAAATTATAATCAGCTCGAAAACACTGAGCATGAAACACTTTCCTATATTTGAAACATCAAAATCTGCTCCGACAGTAAACAGTGCAGAGCTGTACTATGTAACAAAGGGACTGGATTTGAAATGTATCTCAGCTGAGTGCATTATTTATGTTTATGTAGTTAACCCTTATGAATTCTGTATTTAATTGATGTCACTTTTGACTTTAATAGGATTAAAAATTGTATTATATATTTATTATTATTATTGTTATTTTGTAAATGCCCCACACAAGAAGTCCCGTGGGACTCACTGATAATTCATTCGTCCTATAAAATATCTACAGACTGAACTCATGTTGTCTTAACCTCTGTATGAGACTGTAGTTCTGTAACATACAAAAAAAATAAAAAATAAAAACTAAACGCCCTATAGACATGCAAAAATCCTAAAATGTTTTTATCTTATTTGTGCAATATATTAATTCTGCATTCTGCTGTCAAGGTTTTTATATGTAATTTAACAGTTAGTTTTGCAGTCATTCGCTTTATCTTTGGTGTTGTTATCATGCACAGTGTGTGCTGACAAAAAAGTAATGGATTATAACACTGGCTCTGTTGTAACACATTTAGTGTTAAATTTAGGATTAGAACCGTTGGACATCAGAAAAGTCCTCAACAACATGTTGTAAGAGGAAGGTTGTAAAACTTACAGTGATGTTGACTAAGCTATGTCACAAATAAATATAAATCACAGAGTCAATAAAAACTTGTCAGTAAAAGACATCTAATAATAAGCCTCTCAAACAAAGATGTTATGGTGGTAATAATGAGTTATGGGAATTTAATTATAATATACCATACAGTCTTTGAACATAATTTCCATTTGTGAACCAGATGAGGCTTTTGGACATAAGAAGGGGTTGCATGCTTATATAATTAATATTTATATTGTCCTAATTAACATGGTGTTAATCTAGGCTTAGCTTCCAGCCCTCCTCCCATGGGAGTCATTTAATTCATTTCAGTGAAATCCTCAGGAGTCACTGCCTCCTGTTGGCTCATCTGCTCACATCTATAAACATCATTTTGTTTATGTATTGAAGATCTGCTGTAACTTTAAACCACGCTTGACCATGCTGAGTTTGACTAATCTGTCTAGTGTAGCATCAGCATGCTCACTGGCATTCAGACACTGAAAATAATGTAAGAAGAGATACACGAAGGGGTGAAGAGAGAGAGAGTGTTACGAGAATAATTTAAAAAGGGATTTGATAGATAAATGAATGACGGATGTGTTTTAGATGGGAGGTAAATGAAAATGAGATCTCCTTCACCTTTCACTGTCTGGTTTCTCTCACTCCATCATTCTTGCACAATATATGATTGTCATCCTAACAGTGATGTGTTGTGTTTTTTTGTTTTGTTTTTTAAACTTCATGAGAAATCCACAATATATGAAAACAAAACGGTTGCTATTGTGGCTGAATTAATGCCAGAATTAATACAATCTGTTCAGTTTTCACACAGAATCAAGATGGATGGATGGAACTTAGAAAGCAATTACCTGTTAAAACCCAAAATTTAATTGCACACTGGTGATGGTGATGATCTGTTAAATGTAGAATAAAAATAATACATAATTTAATAGACAATCAAAATTTTCTCTGACCAGCATAAAAATACTTTTATATAAATAGAAAAGGGATACTAAGATCTAATGTAATAAAAATTATCTGTATACTTTCTGACAATATCCACAATACACTTTCAAAATACAGCAATAACACACATTTTCTCTTAAATGTACATCTTATTCACACTGAGGTACAAGAACTGTGCATGCAAACATGCAAGAGCATTTTCATGCTAGCAACTACGACTAACACTACGCATGTACTTTTGACAGCTAAAAAGATTTTCGATTCAAAATCTTTAGAAAGACCAATCTCATAAAAATGCATCTTTTGCAATTGTTTTTATGTTGACAAGTGCACAGTTACACAACCCATGTCAATTTTCACATAGAACTATAAAATTACACTATAAACCCTTATTAAAAACATACAGCATGACGCACTATGCTTCCGCTGCCCAAGTAAGCATGCTTTTATGGCTCTCGATGAGAGACGTTTGTGTTTGTGCACATGTACACAGACACACAAGCACATGACACGAATAGGAGGATGCAAAAACAGGATTGTAGCAGAATGTCAGACAGTCTAAATCACATTACTTTTTTCCAGGAATAAGGAAGAAGATAAAAATAAAACCTGGTCACCATTCAGCTTTACATATTATTAAGAGTCTGAGAAATCTTGAGCAGCATAATGAGGGCACGGAAAACAGAAAAACACAACAGACAGATGCCAACTCTAATGCTGAAGATTAACGTATGTATTGTTGTGCACAAAAATGGGGCAATGGATGTCGACCATGATTCAAACGAGTCTTCTCAGCAACAAAATGAGCTCTGATCGCATCCTTATAAAGCCAGCGTCACTTGCTTTTCAGAGTCAGTAGTTTGATGAAACACAATCAAATATCAACGAGTCCATTTTTACTTGCATATTTCTCTCCTGATCGATTTGTGTGAAAGAATGGCTACGAAGATACACCATATGCCAAACCATCACTATAAGCCTTGAGCTGCACGGTTTCCCTCACGTTCCTACTGAGCGGTGAGATGCACAGTTCCTACAGGAATGATGGCGGAGCAGCAACCTGCAGATGATGGGAGTGGTCCGGGTGACAGCCTTTCTGTGCGGGTAGAGCACAGACTCATTGGTTTCTGTGACTCGACATAGACGGAGCATCACTCAGCACTCAGACGGTGGAGAAGTCATCTTGACAGGCAGAAGCGCGCCGTGTGGAGGGGCTGCATTTTGTCATCATGGTGATTTGCGAGCTGAAGTTGAGGCCGTTGCTTGCCATCGAGGGCTGCTGGTACTTAGCATCAGCTCCCAGAAATCTCTGCATGTGCCACCGCCTCCACTTTCGTCTGATCTCAGACTGAACCTGGAGAGTGCGTGTATGAGGTCAGTAAAATATCTCTATTTTTCTCAAATTTTATTTTTGTTAGATAAGGTTCAGATCATGAGAAACAAAGTTAGTCATGTGTTGACTGGCAAATACAATTCTCTCTCTGATATAAAAACATTACATTCTGATACTATTACCTCTCCATTTAGAAAACAGTACAGGACAGCAACACAAAATCCCTGAAGAAAAATAAAGAGGACAATCAATTTGAGCTGCCGCAGGGCAGATTTATAGTCACAATCACAGTTAAATAATTAACAGCTTTATGTAAAAAAAATGATAAACTCAGTCCAAACACATTTTAAAACAAATGATAATATTAAATATAAAATAATCAAACATGAATGACATTAAGTCTACAAAAACAATGGTTATGTTTCAATTTAATCTCATTTGACTTTAGAGAAAGATGGATGGTAAGTCTTTAAAGAATTTAAAGGGGTAGTAGGAAAAAAATGAAAATTCTGTCATCATTTACACACCGTTTCCTTCTGTTGCACAGAAAAGAAGATTTTTTTTTGAAGAATGTCTTTAATTTTTTTCAGTACTATGAAAGCCAATTGCTACTGACAACTGTTTGGTTACCAACATTCTTCAAAATATCTTCTTTTGTGCTCAACAGATGAAAGAAACTCACACAGATTTGGATCAACATGGGGATGAGTAAATGACAGAATTTTCATTTTTGGGTGAACTAAGGCCATTTTTGTATAACCTCATTCAACCTTTTCATCTGGCTGCATAACAAACATGGAGGGAATAAATATCACTGGGCATGTCTGGGGTTGAGGCATGCTGGCAGATCCCACGGTGAGTCTATTGCTGTGGCCAATCTTAGTATTCCATTGGCATTTAGGGAATCCAATCTAGATAAGCAATGCTTATAGAAGAATACAACTGTGGGTAAAAACATGTTTCAGTCCCCTGCTGCCTACCTGAAAAGACCCCAGGATCAAGTCAAATACCAGACGCACATAAGACTCAATGTGATGAGGCATAAAGGCAAAGAGGATGTAGTTTATCCCGAACAAGGGAATCAAAAGTAGAGTTGATTTTGCCAGTCTCCTGTAGACCAAAAGAAATGGCATATGTTGGAATACGTTTGTATTTACAGTGGGTATAGAAAAGAATCACCCCCTTTAAAATAATCACATTTTGTTGCTTTGCAGTCTGAAATGAAGACGGACACAGTTTTTGTTTTATCCAACTGTATTTACTCAGCGCAACTTATAACTTCCAAGTGAAAGATATAAAACCAACATGTCAGAAAAAAAATAGAATCACTGAGTTGGAAAAAGGATCACCCCCTTGTGTCAGTATTTTGTTGAACCACGTTTTGCTTTAATTACAGCCTTTAGTCTGTTGTCTCTACTAACTTTGCACATCTAGACTTTGCAATATTTGCCCACTTTTCTTTGCAGAACTGCTCAAGTTCAGTTAAATTTGATGGTGAGTGTTTGTGGACTGCAGTCTTCAAGTCATTCCTCAGATTTTCAGTGGGTTTTAAGTCTGGGCTCTGACTAGGCCATGCAAGGACATTCACCTTTTTCTCCTTCAGCCACGGTGTGGTCAGTTTTTCTGTGTGCTTTGGGTCATTGTCATGTTGGAAGGTAAACCTTCTTCCCATTGACAACTTTCTAGCAGAGGGCAGCAGATTTTCCTCAAGAATTTGATGGTATTTTGCCCCATCCATTTTTCCTTCTATCCTGACAAGTGCTCCAGTCTCTACTGCAGAGAAACACCCCCATAACAGGATATTACCAGCTCCATGCTTTACTGGAGGAATGCTGTTATTTGGCTGCTGAGCTGTATTGGATTTCTGCCAGACATGTTTGGTGTGGAGAACAAAAAATAAATTTTTAGTCTCATCTGCCTCAGAATCTTAAAGGTGTGTTTTGGCAAAGCTCAGTCGTGACTCCATGTGGCCTTTCTTGAGGAGTGACTTTTTTCTTGCAACCGTCCCATGCAAGCCACATTTGTGGAGAATTTGTGATATTGTTGTCAAATGCACACAATGACCACTCTTAGTCATAAATTCCTGCAGCTGCTTCAGAGTTGCTGTCGGCCTCTTGGTCACATCTCTGACCAGTTTCCTCCTGGCTCTTTCATCCAGTTTAGAGCGACATCCTGATCCAGGGAGGGTCTGTGTTGTACCTTCCATTTCTTAATAATAGACTTCACTGTGCTTCTAGGCATTGATAAAGCCTTTGAATTTTTTTTGTATCCATCTCCTGACTTGTGCCTGTCCACAACTTTATCCCGGAGATCTTTTGACAGTGTCTTGCCACCCATAGTTGATTGTTTGATTCAGTTGCACTACCAAGGACTGAAAATGCTCCAGGAAAGCTATTTTCAAGCTGAGCTATGACCACAGCTGATCGCAGTTGAAAGTTCAAATGACCTTGTGTGCCATTGAGAAGGTGATTAGCTACACCTGATTGAGTTTATAAGTTGTTTTTTTTCTGACATATTGGTGTTATATCTTTCACTTGGATGTTATAAGCTGGACTGAGTAAATACAACCGGATAAAACAAAAACTGTGTCCGTCTTCATTTCAGGCTTTAAAGCAATAAAAAGTTATTATTTTAAAGGGGGGTGATTCTTTTCACACACTGTATATTGTGCATGTAAGACAGCAATGTCTGTGGTCCAACACAAAAACTCACGAGTACTGGTGTGATTCATTTCTCCCAATATCCCGGCAGCTGATTTTCTGACGAAGTATCCGGATGATACAAATGAAGAGAATAAAGTTCATCTAGAAAAACAGCATCAACAGATTAGGCACTGTTTTAAAGTAATTCATGCACCACCTGTCATATTTGTGAGAATTTGATGCTGCTGTACGGTCACTCACCAGTATTGTTACCAATGTAGGGGTTTTTATAATCCACCACAGATCATCGTCAATAAAATCCCAACATCTATCAAAAGAAAATAATAGAATGAAACTACAGTAATGAAGTAAAACATATGGGTTCCGTAAGTACAATTCCCAACCTTTTTCTGCATGAAGAAATGTTTTTAAGCAATAATGTATGAAGCGTTTGAGACAGATCTACTTTGAACTCAAAGGTGGTTATGTAATGGTAAATAATATAAATAATCAGAAATTATTTCAACTTTCGTTTGTTTGTGTGGACTACTTAATAGTCAAATGTCTGGGAAAGAATCCTGAAGAGTGATCTGCAAATCAGTCACTGTTCCTATGCAGAAAAACCCATCAACTCCTGTTGTGACTCTTTTCAGAGCTGATTGATTTAGTTCATGTCTTGAACTCTTTGTTAAATAATTGTTTAAAATCCCTTTGTAGAAAATGACTGGGAGCCAAGGCTTCTGAAAAAGTGAACTCTCACTGTTTGAACAGTCCACATAAATATTGGATGCAAAAACAAACAAAGAAATAAATAAGAAAAATGTGGCAATGAAAATGAAAATATCCACATAAGTTATTTTCAACTGTCTCCTCCTATGAGTTCTGCTCTAAATATAGACTACTGACCTCCATGAAGGCATGTCATTTATCATCAAAGAAAAGTAAAGTTACATTTACTCACCCAATATCATGTAAATAAGCTTTTGTGATGCTCCAGACTGTTATGAAGACACCTGGAACTCCTGGAACACAAACACACATATTGACTATGAAGATCAATATTTGAATACATACAGCTTTGACATGTTGACATTTTAGAGTCTCTGTCACAAGGGATGTTTCCAGGGATTCCTTATATAATTGGCCTACATGATCATTATGAGTTCAATAAAAAAAATGGATTGCCAATTATAATTGTATCATTATATATATATATATATATATATATATATATATATATACAGTAGCTTTTATAGTTTTGTAGCACTTTTTAAATTCATATTCCTTCATTATAAGTGATTATTAAGTATTATTAATATTATGTATTATATTTATTAATACTAGGGCATACAATATATGGTAATATACAATATAAATATATAGATTATTATAGTTAACTAAAATGAAAACCATCACAAAACATTTTTGTTACTTGAAATAAAATATTATATATATATATATATATAATTGACATGTGAATCGTTTGCCAACACGATACAATGACGTCAATGGAAAGGTTAACTGTTAAATCTCGAGTGTGTACATGCACAAGGTCCTATTGACTTTAGTGATCAATTTGTCATTCACATTTGACAGGAATTTCTCTCCTGCCATGAAAACTTATGAGGCCAAGGGGCAATATATCTTAATGCCACTAAGCACATACACACCCCAGCCAATGAGAATGTACCACCAGAAGTACTTCCTCTCAGAGAAGAAGGATACAGCCAGGAGAGCGTGCAGATACAGACCCTCCACCAGTAACCAGAAGAAACTGGCCATGACGCCATACTGGAAGAAAACCACGGCAGCCTTGCAGCCCACCTGTAAAATGCAGAGAGGATTTTGTTTAGAGCTATTATGCACTTGTGTATATTATAACAGGAAATGTGGTCTTGCATGTTTACCGTGTACTTAAACAAAGGGAATGCCTTTGCGCTAGTGTGTTGCATGCGCTAGGCACTAGAAAACATTGTGCAATACTTCCAAAGAGGGGCATTAAAAAGAGTGTAAACACATATAAAGAACCGCTGTATGCTGGTCTGTTAATGTTTGACACTCTTGTAGTGCGTTGACTTCAGAAATGTCCTACATGTAATTATCACCTAAAAGTGTTTCAATTATTGCAATAATCACACAGCCCTAAACAATCTTTGAAGGATTTCAAAGAAACAATCACTAATAAATAGTAAATCCATTTGAATTAACGACAACATCTGAGCCTGAATAATCTACGGGCCGTTTAAATGTCAAACATGTTTTTGTGACCTTGCAAGGGTGTTTACAGAGGGGATACCGTGCCATCATGAGTATTTGAGCACCCTGTTGTGACACATGTGACATATTCTGTTGGCCGACAGCTGCGTCCAGACGGCCCAAAACACTCAAATCCAGATGAAGAGTGTTTATACAGGAAAACACACAGAGAACACATTTATAAACCTTTATACACACAGGCCGTCAAAGCTTTTTATTAGCCAAATAGACTCGCTTTAATTAACGAAATGTCCTCACTTTACAATTGTTAAAACTTGAACACTGCATATGGTTTAAAGAACCATGAAAATGGCACTAAACAAGCCAAACATGACCATGATGTTGGGTAAATACAACGTTGGCCATATCCGGATGAGGGAGGTCATTTACAAACTCTTCAAAGATCTTGAAGGACTGCGCAAACACTGCTACACCTGGCCACAAAATGAGATTAAAGAGCACTTTGCCAAACACCATTTAAAGAGCAAACCTTATGACAAAACATTAGAGCAATTTACTAACGACAGTGTATCAATTGCGGAGATGGTGCTGTTTGTTTCTTGTGAGGGGAAAGAAATCAATTGCATTCACCTGATGTGGTTACATTCAGCTAAGAAAGTAGTAATAAAGTGGAATGCAACCAAAATACAGTGTAAAATTTTTTTTGATCAGGTATAATGTAAAGAATGTGCTTTATGTGGTTTTATTCTAGTCAAAAATATTTGTCACTGAATCAACCTGACTACATTAGGTTAAACCAAGTAATTTTTAAAGGATAGTTCAGGTAAAACTGCCTGTTAATATGTTTCACAGGGTACCAGGAAATATAATTGTAAATAAAGCTGCAAGCAGCAATTATCGGGGTTCAAGCAGTTAAGGCATTTAAGCACATAAGGAAAAAGATTTTGTTAACATGGCTGTAACCACTTAAATCAATGACTAAAAATAGCATTTTGGGCAAATGCAGGTAATTTACCAAAGAAATATGATGATTTTTAACATGTATGACTGTTATAGCGCCACCTATGGTCCGATCATCATGAAACTTTGCATGCTTGTTAAGAGTCATCAGTCACATGTTTTCACCAAGTTTCGTAAAGTTTTGAGTTTTCGCACTTGAGATTTGCACTTTTTATATGCTTTTGGGTATATGTAGCCACGCCCCTTTTCTAAATGACCCCGTTATAAGTAATCAAAAGACAAAATTCAATATTTTTTTGATAATTATTGATCTAGAGAGTCCAGAGAATATTACTGCAGTGGTTTGATCGAGATTGAGCGAAAAACCTAGGACTAGTTCGCAAAAGTATGTTTTTAACATATTTGTGAATATTTAATGAATGATTTGATTGACAGCATTAGTCCCAGAGGCAAAGTTGTTCAGAATGAGGAGGTCTATTATACTATATAAAGATCTAGTGTATGTGTGAATATATGAACATGTTCTACAATTTTAGGTCATTTTCTATACAAATATTGAATTTTTGAGGCCTTTTCAACTGTTATAGCGCCACCTATGGTTCGATCTCCATGAAACTTTGCATGCTTGTTAAGAGTCATCTGACACATGTTTCCACCAAGTTTCATAAAGTTTCATAAAGTTTTGAGTTTTTGTTTAGGCTTTATAGGCTTTTGGGTATATCTGGCCACACCCCTTTTCTAAATGACCCCGTTAAAGGTAACCAAAGAACAAAATTCTTTTTTTTTTTAATATTACTGCAGTGGTTTGATCGAGATTGAAAGAAAAACCTAGGACTAGTTCGTAAAAGTAGGTTTTTAACGTATTTCTAAATATTTAATGAACGATTTGATTGACAGCAATGGTTCTTGAGGCAAAGTTGTGCATTATGAGGAGATCTATCAAATGATATGCATATTGTGCCAATATGTGAAACAACAAGTGATTACAGAGTCAAAAAACTCGTTAGCGCCAACTAGTGGCCAATTTCTTTCAAAATTCTTACAGACCTTTAGGGCCATGAGTCGAACATGCCCACTGAGTTTCGTTCCGATTGACCTCCGTTAACCTTGTCTAAGAGGTGCTCAAACTTCATTGGCCGATGGCTGCCATGTTTTTTGAGATACGCCAATGTCCTCATAGACCCTTATGGAACATTGGACAAAGACACTGCATACCAATTTTCAAGTTGATCGGACCAACGGTTGCGAGATTATAGTAATGTTTATGTTTTTCAATCTTATAGCGCCACCAAGTGGCAGAGCTGCGCAATTTTTTTTATTTGATCAAAGATCAAGCTCATACACAGGTTTACCAAGTTTGGTGAAGATATCTCATTTCGTTCACAAGTTATAGCCTTTATGGTCAAATTGGTCCGCGACTTTCGAACGTTTTGGCGTCCCATTGCAACAGTAAGTCGAAATTTCAACTTTTTTTTGATAATTTTTGATATTCACTGTCCAGAGAATATTTCTGCAGTGGTTTGGTTTGAGGAATGTCTTGTGCAGTCGGGCAAAAAAACCTAGGACTAGTTCGCAAAAGTAGGTTTTGGACATAATTAAAATTTGAGGAAAAACGAGACCTCCTAGACTCAAAATCAGAGTGACCATTTTAAATTTGCCTTGACCCAAGGATTCCAAAAATTTGGAGTCTACGACAAGCGGATTAGGAGTTATTAGCACTTTTGCATTTTTGATCGCTGTAGCGCCCCCTATTGGCCGATTGGGCTGAGACGTCTCCCCAAATTGAGCTCTATCATTTGGCCAAGTTTCAAGTCTCTAGGCCTTACGGTTTGGTCTGCACGATCAGTTTTAGGGGAGAAGAATAATAATAAAAATACAGGTGCATCTCAATAAATTAGAATGTCGTGGAAAAGTTCATTTATTTCAGTAATTCAACTCAAATTGTGAAACTCGTGAATCCTACATTTTAATATGTAGTCTGTAATTATATAATATTAAATTATATATAATATAATTTAATATAAGTCTGTCTGGAATACTTCATTCTGATTAATCAATGGCAGATGTCAGTGGTTGTGTTTTCAACAGTTAAGTTTGGAGTAAAAATCACATTAATTTTTTTTATATTGATTTTTAACAATAACTAAACACCGTTTAAGACAGACCTACAGTGAACTGTTGATATGCTTTCTTTGAAGCAATCAGTCCACATTATACTGTATTAACTTAATTAAAATATATATATATATAACTGCAGAATTTCTAGCAAAAACTATATTACTCATGATTCTGCAAAGAAATCTCCACCACAGAATTGAAACTCTTTAGCACCTACTGTCATTAATCACTGCGAATTACATAAGACTTAAAAGAGTCAGTCGTTGTGTCCAAATTTGCCTAATTTTCTACAAGTAGGAGATAAACTGTATGTGAAAGAGTAGTATGTTTGAATTCATAGTATTCATAAAACAGTAGGCTAAAATTCCTGAATTACCGACCACTTCCACCCAGATTCTGAAGTGCGTGTACAATGAACACTTTACTATCCCATGAGGCCATGGGAGATGAGATGTAAATATCACATGACAATGACAACAAATGTACATGTACTACTTTCAGATTACACTCATACTACACATTCACATATATATATAATGTGCAGTCAGCCAATCATTATCACAATTATAGCCACTGACTGTACATTATCCCTTATTTAAAAAACACTTACAGATCCAAAGTGGCAGTCATCAGGTTCCTCCACCTCATACAGGACTATATCCTTCATAATTACAGCCACAGCCTTCATTATAAAGGACATGAACAGGTGAATATGGATGTAGTTCCTTGTGCAGTGGAGTTTTCTTAGAAGCAAAGAGAGAAAGAGACACAGTGAGTTGTTTTAGCATAATAAATGATATGCAGAAACACAATAAACCATGTGCTGAAAGCTACGTAAAAGGCTCTGCATATACTATATAGACAATGCATTATAATCACATGCATGACACGTGAACGCTCAAGAAAGTGTGCATACACAGTGTTGTTCATTCATATGTTCTGTTCATGTTGAGAGGAGAGACACTCATTCTGTCTACTGTGCTTGTCTTCTGCCTTTCAAAGAGGCACAGGAAACTCATATACTGTGTGTATGAAAACTTAAATATAACTCAAGAACTGTGAGACTCTCAAGAACTGTGTTCCTGTTTAATTAAGTGTGATGCAAGCTAAAAGAGGAAGCTTTTCAATACACTTGAAATCTGGCTTGACCTCTGAGGTCACTGAGGGGAACATCCACTGTGGTTAATTTACTACTGAGAAAATTGTGCACTGCAAAGCTGCATGTTAGAGGTCACAGACTACTAAGCCATTTTTAGGGTTGTGCAATAATGGAAACAGTGCATAACACTATCAAACGTCTGAATTGGTGCACTTTCGCAATGCACTGTTTTGTTAAATGTGCTATAAAACAAGGCATTTCGAACAAGGTCATATGCCTTGACACCAGTATGATTTAGCAGAACATCGATTAGCTGCTAGATCACAGTTGAATCAATCACATAAAATGTGGGCATTCACTGAGGACAACAAAACTATCAATTGGGAGATATTTGAGATTTGTTTTTCATGTGAGAAGGTCCTGTCCAACCCAGGTGAAAAAGAACTACTTTCTTAAATGTATTAAAAATATACTTGAAATTCATATAGTACATTTATAGTACAATTGTACTCCTAACATGCTTACTTGAAGTGCATTAAAAATGTATTGAACTGCATGTTAATATATTTTTTTTAAGTATACTATAAGTATGTGACATTTTAGTCTACTAGTTTACTCTTACTTAAATAATATTTTATGTTTGCTTTGTATAAGAACGTAGTGAACATGTGCTTCAGCCTACTTTTCAAAAGGAAGATGTCTTGAATTTTTTTTTTTATATTTGAATATATTTTATAAAGTATATGAATTCACTCCCACATAAATACATTATAGCTAAGTCTATAAAATATGCAAATGCATTCTTACATTGTACCAACTTATAATGTATTATAAATGGTCAAATATGCCTCATTAATAAGCATACATAAAATCAATATGTTGTTTGGTTTTACTTGTTTGTACTCGTAAAAAATAGAATACTAGGCATTTTGTAATACAATTCAAATACATTTTAGTTTCACTTTTAAAGACATAACATGATGCATTAATTGTAATAGGCTATTAACTGTACTTTCCACAAGCATTTCAACATCATATTATTTTAGTGTATTATATTACCAAACCAGGTATATTGTACTGTCATTGATAAAAAGAAAACAAATCACTAATCAGCATTTGTCTGCCATTTGTTTTTGTTTTTTTTGTTTGTTTTTTGTCGTTTTCAGATCAGCTGCTGTTGCATTAGAAGACCATTTAAAATCAGATTGGAGAGATGAGCAAAGAAGAGAGTGGTAACTGTTTTAATCTCATATCAATGAATTTCAAAGGTTAAATTCTGGCTGACATATTTCCTAATAAAGTGACTGTTGGTACCAGGGCCGCCCTTAGGGGGGTGCAACTGGTGCGGTCGCACCGGGCCCCACGGCGAACGGACCGAGGGGGGCCCCGCTCCCTACCTCGCACCGGGCCCCTCGTCAGCTAAGGACGGCCCTGGTTGGGACTCTGAGTGTCATGCTAACTTTGGATTCAACACTTCAGTTGTAGAGATGTTAGGCCTCTTCTAACCTTATGTTCAATGTAAAAATATTGTATGGTGACGACAGACAAAAGGATAAAAACAGACGCTTATGTCAAGTTTGACGAGGATTTAGTCCAAGCTTTGAAAGGTAAACTGAGAACGGTCAAAGAAATTCTAGTGCATATTGATGCAAATTATAATACATATAATATTCAAAAAAAACATTAAAACCACAGAATTTTCCTTTAACAGACCCTGTGATGAAGATAGTGTACATAGTGTACTTTCCAGTAATACAGGTATAACATAAATGTTCTACAAATTGAATGAAGTAGTTCTGTTATAGCATTTCACTGATCTTTATTTCCATTTATTATAATTATTTTAGTCAAGAGTTTATATATGCTTCTGTACTTTTTAAATGTACTCAAGGAATATATTGTTGTAATGTACACAAGATATCAAGTTTTAAAAATTTGAAAGTGCATGTGTCATTTTAATTGAATGATTTTTGTACTTTTTAACATACCATTTTAGAATGCTGAAAAATAGCTTTATAACAAACTAATAGTGCACTACTAATGCATTACTAATGAGCTGATATGCTACTGAAGATTTTCTTGAAGAATATTAAAGTGAGGCTTAAAATATATTCTAACTGTACTTCAAGAAGTATAAAAGTGTATTTTGTAAAGTAAATTTTTAATTGTTTTACTTTTGTAAAGTAAAATGTAAAGAAGTACAATTAAATTACACTAAATATACTTGATACTTGTTAAGTTGTTCCATTTTAACACAACTAAATATTAAAATGTAAAGCAATTAGCTTAAAGTTCATCTTAAGCATATCTTAAAGAACACTTAAAATACTTAAAGTTGTTCCAAAATAACACATTTATTAAGCACTTAGAACAGTATAATAAAATATAATAAGTGCATCGATACAACTTAAGTGTATTTCTTTTTTACCTGGGTATAACAGAAGTCAGCTGTATGTTTTGAGCTGTATGGAGGATTTACCTGAAAAAGCACAAAATGATGATGGCGATGATGAGGGATATAAGAGACACAGTGTGACCAATAGTGTATCCAATTCTCACAGAGCCCAGGAATTCACCCTACGAGGAAAAAAGTGCTTACTGTAACTTTTATATCAACACTCACGACTCAAGAGTACCTTCAGGAAGACACTTTAATTATCCAGGAGACATAACCAAGGCTGCTACACATCCAACGCAAACATAAGTGAGACTTGCAGAGGTTTTAAATACACCGGGAATGATTACCAGAACTGAAACAGGTGTGTCGAACTAAATTAGAAACCAGGGAGACAAATAGGCACAGGTAACACAAGCAAACGAGAACAGAAAAAAACCCTTAACCAAATCAGACAACACATGACACTAAAGCCAAGTTCACACTGCAGGATTTTAAGCCCAATTTAAGCCCGATTTGCAAGTCAACAAGCTCGCTGACTGGTTGGACTGTGATCGGAAAATCGGAGGGTGATCAGTGCTCGGCAATCTTTATGTGTGAACTACTCAATGATGCATCAAAGAGGCTCGCTGATGCCTCGTCGACACCAAATAAATATCTGGACCGGTCGGCCGACTCGACATCACGTGGTGTCAGGTGTCGCAATGAGCTACAGCCAACGAGAGAGCAAGGCATGGGTTGAGGTCACCGGAAGAAAAAGAGCAGCAGCAGCATGACTTTAAAGGGGTCATATGATGCCCATTTTCCACAAGTTGATATGAGAAAAGTTTGGACACAAGAAAAGAAGCAAAATCTTTCAGAACAGATCATCAGTCAAACAGCTTGCAGCACTAATTTCTTCCCAACGTCCATTTTCAAATAAACAACTCCTGTTCACTTGTTGTTTCGCATCATTCCCATTCAACTTCTTGCGTGTGTTTTCATGACAAAACGTGGTTTGGGGGACGTGTAGAGTCGTTGGGTGACACAGAGTTGTTGTCAGTTCATGTAGTGTGTGACCTGTTGCGGATCATTTACGTAGTGTCACGTAGTGTGAACAACAAAACGACTTCAAGACAGACAGCAAGTCTGTATTCTGAACAGCACAACGATTTGCCGACGTTTAAAGTCATGTAGCGTGAACTTGGCTTAACTAAACTCAGCAACACGCTAATGATGAATATGTAGAACTGAAATCAGAACAACAAGGTCAGTCTTGTTTTGAATAGTTTACTTATGTTTAATTTGCAGCCACTTACCATTAAAACTGAATCACTCCACTTGTGATTGCATGTCATTGCATCAGTCTGTGAATTAGTGGTTTGGATTTTCACTTACTGTTTCTGCTGGTAACTTGAATACACCAGTAGGTGGTGAAAAGAGACTATTATTGATTCATTCAACTGATTTGTTTAAAACACGGATTCATCCAGAAACTAAACAAGTGACTGGCTGCATCCAATTATGCCTACAGTATGTCCGAATTCACAATATTTATAAAAAAAAGTGCTCAGGTGACCTACTATTTCCAACAAGATTCTAAAGAGTCTGATAGACAATTTACTATCTCATGAGCCGACAGGAGAGGATTTGTCTATGGAATTAAAGCGACGCAACTGATACTGGTATGTCGCGTTATTAATGACAACATGACAAATGTAGTATGTTTAGATTACTAGTAGTACATCTGGATATTGCACACATTGATACTATTTAGAACATACTTTTTTAAACAACGGCCAAGTAACTAAATATTCAAAAAGAAAGTATGCCATTTCGGATGCAGCCAGTCTTTATTAGTGAGTCATTGAATCATTTACTCAACCGATTAGAGCAGCTTCTGCTTTGTAACAGCTATGTTAATAATAAGCTAATATTGTGTCTAAATTGTAAGTGACTCAATTTTCAATTTTAGTCTGAATATCAGCAAGGCTGTTATTATGGAACTACAGCACGCTCTTGCTCATGTGATATTGCTTAAATTAATTCAGCAAACTGAGGTTTGAGAGCCAAATTAACTAAACAGAGCAAATAAGCCTAAGACTGCAATACCATAATAGTGCCGATGTGAGTGGAAAGTGCTAATTAAAGAACACAGATGCATCCAGATAATAATTTCCATAATGACTTATGCAGTCTACCAACAGCAGTGTCATTTAGCAACTATCGCAGTCAAGTGCAGAATGGGTTAAGACATGCTTTTTTGGGCATTAAATAATGGCGACCAGTAAACTGACTAGTGCAAACCATTATAAATCACGTCACATAATTTATTAATACCCTCCTTCTGAAAAATTTTGCGTCTGAAACGGAAACTCCCACAAATGCATATTCATTAAGGTCCACGCCTTTTCATTTAAAAATTGTCACTGTCTTTAGTAAATTCTGACAGTAGTTATTAAATACCAAAAGAGGGTTTGCGCTGGCGCAAGCTGTTAGTAAATCTGGCTCTAAGTGTCTTATCCTTATTTGACTGATTGCTTATTTCGTACCTGTGAGAAATATATGCTGTTATTGATTAGAATGCAGTGGGTGCAAATCAAAACAAAGCAAAAATGCAAACGTACGCACCACGTTTCCATCCTCTGTGATATTGGGGTCATAGCCACAGTTATATGCAACGACAACTGAGTTTATTTCTGTCCAGCCATTGGCAGTACAGCTCTTGGATATGTTTCCTGGAAAAGGGCAAAAGGACAGTGAATACATAGGTCAAAACAGAGAGAAATGAAGAGTGTTAAAACGCAAAATTCGATCACAGTCTCATTCCTCCATTAATCACTGCTACTCAGACACACTTAAAACACACAGCCAAAGATGAGGCTGGCGATTACTGCAATACAAGCAAAGCTTGAGCACTTCATGGATCTCAAGCAGTCAATGAATTAATCAACAGGAAATGTCTTATATCTCCATTCACTGGAAAACTTGGAATGTTTTAGTTTTGTCTTCTTTTTTTTTTTTTTTTGCATATTGCAACACTAAATTTCTTGATCTGATTCATTTTAAGCAAAATTGAACAGAATTATCTGACATTTTTTGGAACAGTTTTCCTTGCAATTTGTGACAGCAGATTTCAGCGACTGATTACTGCGCTGAACGCTCATTGGCTTGAGAATCCTCTCAAGCCTGGAAGACTTCAAACTGAATGGGACTGATTTCTTTCCCAGCCTGTTTTTGTGAAGTAAAGGGTAGACAAGCGCATCATCAGGTAATCATTCTCTGCAAAGTGGAGGAGGAAAAATAACAGATGTAGTCCTGTCTGTCTTATCGCTACCTGAAATACCAGCTGGGAAATCATTTTACTCACTGGACACATTATGACGTTCCCATAATGACCCTTTAGATCCTCCTCGCACTTTTCTGCGCTACATGTAATGTCCATGTCACGCTTATCAAATTCATGACCTTTCTGTCATACACTTGAGGCCAGGTTTTTTGAGGGTTGATGTCACAACAGAAGATGAATAGAAAGGAATGGAATTTTAAAAAATAGCACCTCCCAAAATATTCCCAGTATTAAGAGGCAAGGATTATAAATTTGCCTCTGACTTAACAAAATATTGAAATGTCATGCAGATGTCTCACTCTACAAATTAAATTAAATTAAATTAAATTAAATTAAATTAAAGCTATTTTAATGAACATTTAGTCACTGGTTGTATTTTTCTCTAACAAATTCCCAGAGTACGATCTGCCTTACAATTAGAGAGATGAGTCATGAATAAAACATCAACTTCTTCACCCCTGAAAATGTTACTCTCATTTGTAGGAACCTTGTCATCCTTGGGGTATGTAAGGTCATTAAAGAAGGTAGGCATAAACCTCTAGAGAATACAACAGGCTCCACTTATAGAGAGTGAAATACAACCGTATACAGGGATTGATATAAATCTACTGTACATTAATTAGAACAGAATGCTTGTAATGAAATGTCACGAAACCAGCTAGCAACTAACCACAAAAGCCTCTAATGAGTAACATTTCGTACAATGGAATTTACATATGAATAAGGAATCAGGTGTTTTTACTTTTTTTACCATACATAGCTTCATCAATTAATTGACAGTCTGTTCTGAATAAAAGTCTCTACAAATAATTAAACTTAAAACTAATATTGCATCAATGCAGTTTTCATCTGTTTACCAAGACCTTTAAACATGTTAAAATGAACAGAGAAGCTTTTTTTTTATTTCTGAAGTAAAAAACCAGCCCCACATCCAATTAAATTGGCTCTGTGGGAAGCAAGACAGAAAACACATCAATGGAAAACATTGGAATTTTGGAACGTTTGATATGGATTTGGCAAGTTATGGCAGACAACTTGAAAACCTCATTATCACTGTGCCAGCATTATGTGTAGCTGATGATGTTTACTTCCGAGGGCACAATAACTATATTTAGACTATGTGAAGATTGAGGACATTCACACATCCTGCAACAGGAATTCATAACATATTAACTACTTTATAGTGTGTTAACTAATAAACAGATTATAGTCAAATACACTGAAGATAAAAGTAAGCACAAACTGCTCCTATACTCATCTCATAACAGCATCCACAGACTACAACATAATTTTTTATTCAAATCCTTGACAAAAGCACTGTAATTCAGTATGTTTTTGCATGAAAAAAGCTGACAATCTCCTCATCAAAATACAAGTGCATTAAAAATGTGTAATCTCAAGCACAGAGACAGATAAGCTACTGCTGCTAGAGTCTGGATTTGTTTTCAGCGAGGGATTGTCAGAAGAATGCTTTCATCATCCCGAAAAACAAGACAATGAGGACTGTCAGTGCCATGTATGAAGATGGACCGAACATGGGAACTAATCAACCCACTCTTTTGTTATTTCAGAGCGTGCCTTTGAAGAGGTCTTCTGCCTCTAAGCATGCAGCCTGAAGGGAGAGGATGGGGGTTCTGGTTCTGGTAAAGATTTGGTCCTTGAACAAGTGTTGATAGTAGCATGACTTGTATAAACATGAATCAGACTGAGCTTTTGATAAAGCTCTTTGAGCAAAGTGTTATTACAGCAGCTTTCTCCAATGAAGGTGGGTGTGTGTATAGGTGTGTCCTTCTCTTTCAAACGCAAGCTGCTTGACGTATTATGACAGCAGATCTAAAAGTGGAACTGCTGTGAGAATTCGCAAGAATGTGGGTAATTAAATGAGTATTCTGGGTTCAATACAAGTTAAGCTCAATCAACAGCATTTGTGGAACACCTCCAAAAAATAATTTAGTTTCCTCCCTTGTTTTGTTAAAAAAAGGAGGTTACAACAGAAGTGAATGGGGCCAATTTTTGGAGGGTTTAAAAGCAGAAATGTGAAGCTGATTTTAATTATTTTGTTAATAATTGTGCATTCTTTGAGCCGTAAAGCTCGGTTTGGGGTTTTAAGGTTTAGTCTTGTGCTGTCATGATGAAATTGCACAATTGGATACAACTTTACCAAGCAAATAAAAAAATTAAGCTGAAATAAAATCAAATATTGGATGAAAAACTTTCAAAGAACAAATTCAAAGAAAGAAAATAAAAAATGTTGCATTGGCTACTAACAGAAATAAACTTTAAGCTGAAGAACTAAAATGACTAACTAAAATCTACTATAATTAAAATACAAATGTAAATTAAAAACTGAAATAAAAATTTATTTTAAATATACAAATATATAGAAATATAAAATATTACATATATATATATATATAATATAACTATATAAAAACTATAACTATATATAACTATATTGAAATATAAAAAAATAAAAATAAAAAAGCACATAATAAAATGAGAAACTGAAAATAGAAAATATAATAAAATGACTAAAACTGAAAATAGAAAATTAAAAGTTAATTCAAAATATTATATAAATAAATAATAAAACTAAAATAAATCAGATTGGCCCCATTCACTTCTATTGAAAGTGACTCACTGTAGCCCATAATTATTATTATTTATTTTTTATTATTATTTATTTTTTATTTTTTTGTGGTAATCAACAGGACACAAATTTCGGAACTTGGAACTTTCTTTTAAGGTGTGTTTACCTTTGCTTGCAAGCATGTAAAGTGACACTGAACAGCTTTTGGCTTAGTAAACTTTACTTTCTGAACATTTATATGAGGTGTGATCATGAGGTCACTGCACTATTGACAGTGTGTTTGACTAAAGCATGAAAGTGAAGTCTGAGATATGAGCAAAGAAACCACTCTGAACAGTTGAGAGGATTAATGACAGTATGTTTGATGTAAAGCTCCTGGGTAAAAAGTTCAAATTGTGTTAGGACACTACAAGCTCCACCCAAAATAAATTTATGATATGTTCCTGGATCTGTGTGCTGCCAAGTTTCGTAACGCTTGTTTTCCTTTCCATGCTCCAATAAAAATGAATTGCTTCTTGATTAGACTATAACACAAGACCTGGTAGATTCTTTTGAATCTATAATCTGATTCTACCACTGGACAGATTAAGTTTAAAGGAAAGTATTTTACTCCTGCAGGATAATTTAGGAACAGCTGGAATACCGGGAGTGAGATTTAATCTTCAGGCTTGATTACACAAAGCATCGTTACTATTAGGAAAGTAACCATAAATTGATATTTCTACACACAGTTGTCCCAAATGGATTCATTTGAACAAATTAAACCACTTAAAAATGTCTGAATGTGACTAAACAAATGGTTCTAGAGCTTTTCTCAAAACTAACCTCACTTTTCTGAACCTTTTTCAATTACTCTTTACCAACTGCTCCCAAGATGAATTTTTTTATGGACGGATGAAGTCATTTCTCTGTAAGCTCACACAGGTGAACACCCAGAAAGGGCTGAAATGTCTTTAAATCTACTGTTTTATTATTTGAAACCTAAAAAATGTATTAAATGTTTTGCTTGATAGGTGGTTTTACACTTTATTTCTATAAAATAAATAAATAATTTTTTTTTATATTTTGCTATGTACTGCAAATAGATTCAAGTGTGGCTAAAGTAATTTTTAGGGTTACATCTGGTTGGCCTACAAATGGAATAAAAGGGGAGACTACACAATATATTAAGCTTTGATGGACAAAAATGTGCATGATTCATTCTGAGGGCATTAAAAGAAGTGAATAGAATGAACTGGCTTTCCAAAAGCAATCCAATCTAACTTACGGTTGCATAACTTTCACATAGTTCTGTTGAAATCAGCATAATCGCAGTGATCACCAATGCAGCGCAAACTCTAGTGTGTACTGTAGGAACCCTGATGTGAATTTTTTTATGGACATATGAAGTCATTTCTCTGTAAGCTCACACAGGTGAACACCCAGAAAGGGCTGAAATGTCTTTAAATCTACTGTTTTATTATTTGAAACCTAAAAAAATGTATTAAATATTTTGCTTGATAGGTGGTTTTACACTTTATTTCTATAAAATAAATGCTAATTTTTTTTATATTTTGCTATGTACTGCAAATAGATTCAAGTGTGGCTAAAGTAATTTTTAGGGTTACATCTGGTTGGCCTACAAATGGAATAAAAGGGGAGACTACACAATATATTAAGCTTTGATGGACAAAAATGTGCATGATTCATTCTGAGGGCATTAAAAGAAGTGAATAGAATGAACTGGCTTTCCAACAGCAATCCAATCTAACTTACGGTTGCATAACTTTCACATAGTTCTGTTGAAATCAGCATAATCGCAGTGATCACCAATGCAGCGCAAACTCTAGTGTGTACTGTAGGAACCCTGATAAAACAATTCTAGTTAAAATAATCAACTGTCTTTTAAACACTCTTTCTGGGCAATAAACATGGAGCATTTCTGGGAAATCGGTGCTAAGGAAACAAATGTTTCCTTTGATTGGTCCAGAAAGCCTCAATCTGTTTGCTATAAATTAATGAGGATTTTTGTGTCCACTGGGTCTGTGCATGTCCTTTGTTTTTCTCTCTGGTTCATAAATTGTTCCATCAACACGTTCGTTATATATGTCTCTGTCTCCCCTAAAATCCAACTCAACATTCCCAGTCAGTTAGTTATCAGTTATCAGTTTTTTCCCATCACATGATCTTCAAGTCAGCCCACCCCCAATCTAATACATGCAGGTCTTTTCCCAATCAAATCTGGCCTGCATCACAGCTCACCAAAGGCTATATCCCACATGAACTCCATGAGGAAGATAAATTCATTCCATTTCACCCTGTACCATCTAAATCCCTCAATCCATGTTTTGGATTTCTTCCAGAAAGCACTCTCTCAGAGCACTTAGGAAAGGCATGCCCTTTCAGCAAGACACAGATATGACCTGGAAGCCATTAGATGTGTGTAAACAGTTCATAGGATGAAAATTTTGGTCGTAAATCAAAGCTAATTCTAACAGAAACCCAAGTGAGTAGAAGGTCATGCAAATAAATAAATTCAAATTCTGTATCATCCATATGGAGATCCCATAAAGAAAAAACACAGAAACATTCTATAAATGAAAGTCCATGTGTCACTGCTACTTTTGTGACTTTATAAGAACTGAACCAAAAGTGCTGTATTTTCCAAAATGATGTGTCATTACAGAAATGGATCCTACATTACATGGATGTAACTGCTGCTTTTAAAGCAGGATCACTTTGAAAACCTTATTGATCCACACAGTCATTTTCACGTACAATTTCATGATTATTGAGCAACCCAACCTCTTGAAATACTTTCATTGGTGTTCTTGCAGCAGACTTAACTGCCATAGACAGTACTCAGTTCCTACAGACATTTTATTTCAACTTCTAAAGTCAAAAATGACTCCTTTTACTCCTCTGTGTGCTTCAAGGGAAAGGGGAAATTTAAGAAGTAGAGTCAAATCAAAATGAAACGTATTACTGAAAAGATGAAAATAAAAGCTGATACATTAACTTTATGACAAAAGGCCAGTTTTTTCAATTCCCTAGATGGTTACATACACTAAATTAAATAAGGGTAAGGTTTCGTTTTAATGACGTCTGGCGTGATACAAGTGCTCATATCTAAACCTGTCCATCAAAGGTCTATATGATTGACAGGTCCATTGGACAGTCTAGCAGTATAGAGAGGTCAGCAGTGACATGACTGCAAGCTAGTAATATTTTGCTGAAAGCAGTTTAGTTATTAGCCAAATAGTACATCAATAAGTCAAGGACTCAAATGGACATTCACTCATACAGCAACATATATATGAATGAAACCACATAAATCAGTAGCATAAATTCAGAATGTATCATGCTGCCTTTCTAAACAACCCACACTTTTTGTTTTCAACTCTCAAAAAAAAAGTGTACATTATTTCATGTATGTACCATCAGTAGTATATATATCATGCTCACCAAGGCTGCATTTGTGTTCAAAAATATAGTTGAAATATTATTACAATATAAAATAACTGTTTTCTATTTATATTATATTTCTAATATATTTTAAAATGTAATTTATTCCTGTGTTGGCAAAGCTGAATTTTCAGCATCATTACTCCAGTCATCAGTGTCACATGATCTTTCAGAAATCATTCTAATATGCTGATTTGATGCTCAATTATTACTGGTACCCACTTATTAATAATTCGTCTTATTATTATTAATGCTGAAAACAGTTATGCTGCTTAATATTTTTGTGGAAACCTTTTTGTGATACATTTCTTTCAGGATTTTTGATGAATAGAAAATTTAAAAATGACAGCATTTATTTGAAATACTTTTGATCAAACTTTAGAATACATATATATATATATATATATATTAGTGCTGTCAAACGATTAATCGCAATTAATCACATCCAAAATAAAAGTTTTTTTTTACATACTATATGAGTGTGTACTGTGTATATTTATTATGTATATATAAATACAAACACATCCATGTATATATTTAAGAAAAATATGCTGTTTATATATTAAATATATTTATAAATAATATAATAATATAAATATATAAATGTAAATATTTTCAAAATATATACTGTATGTGTGTGCATTTATATATACATAATAAATAAACACAGTACACATACATACAGTATGTAAACAAAAACTTTTATTTTGGATGCGATTAATCGCGATTAATCATTTGACAGCACTAATATATATATATATGATATATATAAATTGTATGTATGTATATATATATATATATATATACACACACACGCACAAAACTAAGATATTGCCGGGTCTGTCAAGCACAGCTACCCTACCATGTTCAGTTGCTAAATACACAGCTAATCCTGATTAGCCAAATACAACCACAGAAGGCTTACTTAAACAGTATTAAAAGTTGCCCATGCCTTTCCTCGTTAGAATAAATTACAGTGGTCATGAATTCTCAGCAAATAATTGGCGCATGAGGCTCTCCCCAGAGAAAGTCTCATGAATACAGCTTGTGTGTCAATGTCTCTGCTAAATTACAGCAGCAGGTCCCAATAGCACAGGCAATCTTTCTCTTTTCTCCAGAGTTATCAAAAACTAATCAGAGGAACTCAGAAGAAGGCTTTGGGATAGTCTTTAAACAATGTGACATTAGTTATGATGCTAATTAAGTCATAGTGAGGACATTTGCTTTCTCTGAAAATAAGTCTCCACAGAGGTTGCAGAACATTAGGACTTTAAAAGACTTTATCAAGAATGGATAGAAGTGGAATAATGGTGAAAACACAAGGTGAAAAACAGGTTTATTGGAAAACATTTAGCATCTTCATACTTATTGAAAAAAATATTGACATACCTCTTTGATCACTGACATGGCTGAAGTAATTCGGACAGGGGATGGTGACCAACTCTCCAATCTTAGCTGATGGCCAGCATGCTAGATCCCATTCACCTGTACAACCTTAAAGAAAGTGAAGAAAAACTGATTAGGAAATAAAATACTGATAAGATATCTGAAAACATACTGCCATCTAATCATGCTATAATTGGTGATAAAGTCTAGATTGTCTCTTAAATTAGTCGATATAGGCCTGTACAATATCTTTAGTTCTTGACACATCAAACGTCCATTAAGTCGGCCTTAATTCACACTGTACTGTACCGTCAGACCAAGACAAACGGCAACAGACACGTTCGTCTTATTTTGTCGGATCATTGTGTTATCCCTGTCGGTGTCTGTTTGTTGCCGTCTGTCAGTGAATTAGCCTTCAGAGATTTTAACTGAGTTCTGATCAGTTCTGGAACTCTGAACGGATAAATTCAAGTTATGATGTAATGTAAGTAGTGACAGATCTCTTCTTTCATATTATGACAAACATTCAAAAGCAACGGACTATAGAAAAAGAAAAAAATCCATCTCGACTGGATGAAGCCAAATCTGATACAGTTAGCTTGCAGTCAGTCAATTGTAAGAAAGTGGCTGGTTTAAGCAGACTGAATGATTGGAGAAGTCCAGCATACATCAAAGAGAAGTCTGTGATTTTACCGTATTCGGAAGCTCGAACCATTACATTTTGATTTAAACAATTTTTTAAAGGTGCTGTATGTAGGATTGACACCGAGTGGTTGAACTAGGCATTGCAGTCCAAATTCAAAATATTGGAGAGGGTTTTTTTCAACCGTCCCCTCCTCCTCAGACTTGACGCACACGCAGGTTGCCAGATTGACAACACCAACAGCACTTGACGATGAATGAATTAATCGCGATTAATCATTTGACAGCACTAATATATATATATATGATATATATAAATTGTATGTATGTATATATATATATATATATATACACACACACGCACAAAACTAAGATATTGCCGGGTCTGTCAAGCACAGCTACCCTACCATGTTCAGTTGCTAAATACACAGCTAATCCTGATTAGCCAAATACAACCACAGAAGGCTTACTTAAACAGTATTAAAAGTTGCCCATGCCTTTCCTCGTTAGAATAAATTACAGTGGTCATGAATTCTCAGCAAATAATTGGCGCATGAGGCTCTCCCCAGAGAAAGTCTCATGAATACAGCTTGTGTGTCAATGTCTCTGCTAAATTACAGCAGCAGGTCCCAATAGCACAGGCAATCTTTCTCTTTTCTCCAGAGTTATCAAAAACTAATCAGAGGAACTCAGAAGAAGGCTTTGGGATAGTCTTTAAACAATGTGACATTAGTTATGATGCTAATTAAGTCATAGTGAGGACATTTGCTTTCTCTGAAAATAAGTCTCCACAGAGGTTGCAGAACATTAGGACTTTAAAAGACTTTATCAAGAATGGATAGAAGTGGAATAATGGTGAAAACACAAGGTGAAAAACAGGTTTATTGGAAAACATTTAGCATCTTCATACTTATTGAAAAAAATATTGACATACCTCTTTGATCACTGACATGGCTGAAGTAATTCGGACAGGGGATGGTGACCAACTCTCCAATCTTAGCTGATGGCCAGCATGCTAGATCCCATTCACCTGTACAACCTTAAAGAAAGTGAAGAAAAACTGATTAGGAAATAAAATACTGATAAGATATCTGAAAACATACTGCCATCTAATCATGCTATAATTGGTGATAAAGTCTAGATTGTCTCTTAAATTAGTCGATATAGGCCTGTACAATATCTTTAGTTCTTGACACATCAAACGTCCATTAAGTCGGCCTTAATTCACACTGTACTGTACCGTCAGACCAAGACAAACGGCAACAGACACGTTCGTCTTATTTTGTCGGATCATTGTGTTATCCCTGTCGGCGTCTGTTTGTTGCCGTCTGTCAGTGAATTAGCCTTCAGAGATTTTAACTGAGTTCTGATCAGTTCTGGAACTCTGAACGGATAAATTCAAGTTATGATGTAATGTAAGTAGTGACAGATCTCTTCTTTCATATTATGACAAACATTCAAAAGCAACGGACTATAGAAAAAGAAAAAAATCCATCTCGACTGGATGAAGCCAAATCTGATACAGTTAGCTTGCAGTCAGTCAATTGTAAGAAAGTGGCTGGTTTAAGCAGACTGAATGATTGGAGAAGTCCAGCATACATCAAAGAGAAGTCTGTGATTTTACCGTATTCGGAAGCTCGAACCATTACATTTTGATTTAAACAATTTTTTAAAGGTGCTGTATGTAGGATTGACACCGAGTGGTTGAACTAGGCATTGCAGTCCAAATTCAAAATATTGGAGAGGGTTTTTTTCAACCGTCCCCTCCTCCTCAGACTTGACGCACACGCAGGTTGCCAGATTGACAACACCAACAGCACTTGACGATGAATGAAATGAAATACGCTGTGTTTTCCGCCAACTGGCAACCCGAGGTTCCAAAATACAATTGGGTAAACTGGCAGTGGGCGGGTTTCACAAACCAAAACAGAGACCGACATTCTGGCCCGGAACGCACATTTTCAAAGGAGAATAACTGACTGTAGCATTGTTTTTCAGATAAACAAGTATGTTAACTTAGCATGTTTCTTAAATATCTGCAAACATATTATGGTATTTTTATGCTTTAGTAGAGTCAAAAACTTACCTACAGCACCTTTAACAAAAGAAACATATGTATGAATGTTCACAATGAGATCAATATCAAGCATTTAGATAATAGAGTGAATGTTCATTTTATGCTGACTTTAATGTGGTTTACGCCACTAAATCCAACTGATATTAAAGATTTTATAACAGACTGGGCTACATGACAAAGAAAACCCAATTAAAAACTGTGCCATGAGAGAGCGCTTTATCAAAGTTCATCTCACAGTCTGAGAAACCAATTTGCATACTGGTCTAAGATATATTACTCAGGGGAGTTTTATGATTGAGATTTAAATCAAAGGAAACACAAATGACAACACACAACCTTGATGCACAACTTAGCCCATAGATAATCAGACCTTAAACTTACACAACCAGCTTTTGTAATTGCTTTGTCCATTAAGAACAAAATCAATATTAGATGTTCTAATTGATGAGGTTCATGCCCTATAGGCAGGCACTGAAGCTCTTGGTAAAGTCCACTTTAGTAAAGTCCTCTTGGTAAAGTCCACTGAAACTCTTGGTAAAGTCTAGCTTTTTCACCATACAAATCACACAAATCCCTGTGAATGATTCCAGTAATTAAGGTGCTCCAATATGTGATGTGTTATTAGAATTTTCTATTAAATACTGTATATGTTATCATAGCTCATTTGTGGTTTTTGTCTGCCTTAATGAACAGTCATGATAAAACTTGATATCAGTGTTGACCTCCTTTTCATGTTTTTCATTATCACAGCAGAATCAGACCTTAATACTGAAGTGAAAAAGCAATTCATTTAATTTCAGTTATTTTTCAAATAAGCATCGTTAGTTGGAAAATATTCCACAAGGCTATGAGGAACTTAATCACAAAGATTGTGACTGAACTGAACTGAATTCTGTGGGTAGCGCATGGATGTGCTCTCAGACCTTCTGATGTACTACCTAATCAATGATGAAAAATAATTCATTAAAAAAAACTAAATGTACTTGCTGCAAGCAAAACTACCTGCTGAGGCAGTGCACTGAAACAACTACTGATTTAATCATATATAGATAATGAGAGTAAAAACACTGATGTTGTGAAGATTGCGCTTCACAGAATGACATTTCTGCCTAATTAACTAGTATGCCTTTGTAACCTCTTCTGATACTTGATCAGACAAACAAACACAAAACAACAATTATCTGCCCAATTCACAGTATCTACAGTAATGAGAAGAGAGGTTTCAGCTGCATGCAGTCTGTGGGAAGAAATGAGGGGAAAATATTGACATTTCTGCAGATAAAGCAGCATAGCTTAACTATAAGTTACCATGCCACATAATGTGAAAAACTGTACATGGTTTAACATAAATAACTGTCCATTTTTAGCAAAGGAAAAACTATGAATTACCATATAATGTTTTTTAAATAATTTATTTCGTTTCTTTTATATTTCATTATTTAAATTTCATGTGCATTATGATGGTTTTTGTCTTTGTACATATGACTCTGTTCACAGTCTATATACGAGTACTAGCCATGATTTAAGGACAGGTGACTTACAATGAACTCTGATTCATCATGTGGATTTCTGTTATACAACCTGTATCATTATGGTGGTTATCAGTGCATTTTAAGGTAAAAACAAAGTTCCTTTTAAGCAAGTCATTTCACCCGGCTGCCATCTTTGAAACGCCTCTTGGGCAGCTATTTCAGTCATGCAAATACAGCTCCTTCAGTAGTGTGTTTAGGCACCACGCAAACCATGGCAGCTGTAGTGATGTGATGACTTTACCAATTAGCGACTGGCTCTTTTATTTAGAAGGCGGGACTATTCCGCCATGTTGCGCATTGCACTTTCTCCTATTCATAAGTAACATGAGTGCACCATCAGTCTTTGGTAAAAATCTGAATTTGTTATATTAGCATCATATCACTTAATGAAATATATGGTTGTAAAATATACACACACTAATATGTCATGCTGCAATACCTGAAACATTGCCACTATATTTTCATAGTGAATTTCTGGCAACCACAGCTATTTCTTTTTTTACCGTGTATTTAACAGGCTATTTTTACAGTGTATATCACCAATATACAGACATCATTGTGTCTTTACATGCCTACAGTTGTCATATAGTGACTTATATGCAGTGTACATACCTGACGTGATGTTTTCCAGCTTGGCCAAACATTCTCTTTTCTCCGCTTCCAGCTCCCACATGACCTCACACATCTGGACAGACAGCATCTGTTTAAATCAATAACACAATCACAAGATTCTGACATAAGATATACATTTTACTTGCAATAAAACATATCTTAATTTTTGCAGTTTCAGAGAACATTGCATCACATTTCTGAATAGCAACAGACCTTTGATCACATTACGAGCTGAACATAATTACTGTTTGAAGAGAACGAAGTGAAATGGTTGCACATGTGACACTGCCTCTCCCTTTTCCTGAGTGTCATGGAGATTTGATGAAGGGTAGGACGATTCGTGTCATTCCTTCATTTTTACATAGCAATTTAACAAGTGTAGCATAAGTTCCTGCACTGTACTGAGCTCTTAATAATGTCTCCTTTCACCTCTGTCAATCCCTAAAGGACTAACCTCTGGATATCAACAGTATAAGGTTGAAAAATTCACGACATAAATTATTTGTCTTTAAGCTGTCTCTCTGCAGCTGTATCCAATTTTCCTTAAATGTAGGCTGTACTATATAAGAAAGCGCTCTCATGGATTCTTTCATAGAGCACCAGAGGACAGAGGACAGATTTATGGCTCTGGCAGATGAGGCCATTGAGAGGTGGCATCAATCAAAAGTTCACAGCAGAACTATGGTTACTCCCAAACCTGTCCATATGCTTACAGAAAGTATGACCATCTGGGTCAAATGTTACTCTGGTACCTGAACGGTCAGTATGTGTGATCTACAGCAGTGTTTTACAACTTGTTTTGCACGGCAGTAGCCCCATAAATAATATGAATCAAGAGCACCTTCTTCAAATCTGGACCTGAAATGCATCCCCTGTAACTTTTATTATCATTTGTTATTATGATTAATTTGATTATTATCACTTCTAAACAAAAAAACAATCAATACTATGGGTGAAAACAGACTTATCTTGTAGCACACATAAAATGCTACAAATGTCACAAATTTATAAAACTAGCACATATTAAGCAGAATTTTCTTTCTGTTGTATATTTGTAACAAAACAGAAACTAAATCTTTCTATGTACTGGACTGATCTTCAAACATCTTGAGATATGTGCCATTCAAAGTATCTTTTACCTCAATGCTGTACGTTAAGTCAATTGAAAGCACAGGTTCTCCATAGTTCATGTATGTGCCCAGAGCAAACAATCGCATTCTTTTTACTGTACTGTGTGGGGTGACATATTCAGAAGTAAATTCAGTTGCATGGTAAGCTGTAGTTATAGAGACATGAGTCACTACTGTCTGCAGTGAGGAAGGAGCTGTGATCAAGGACAGTGCTGGCATGGACACAGAGATGATGAGGGTTGTTACCATGGCGTCACAATAAGAGAAGACAATCATTCTTTACACTATTTCAAATAGCATGATTAACAATATGACATCCAGTTTAGACGGTAAACACATGCTGTACATAGAGGAATCTTTCCATTGTAACACTGGTACTGTGAATGCATGCTGTTTGTAGCAGTATAAGTCAGGAGCACTAAACCTGAAGGATTTAAAAGTAAATACTGAGTGATTTCCTGATTTCCCTGGTTAACCTGCAGACATGATTAGATTTCTAACATTATATATATATATATATATATATATATATATATATATATTAGCTTAATGGCTAGACCTAAGGAAATCTGAATTCATTCAATAAACAACTCTATACTCTTTTTGATGGAAATCAGCTTTATTACTATCCCTGAATATGCTCTATCAAAATGTCAGAGAACATTTCAGTGTTTAAGAAAAACTCTATTATCCACATAATTATATCCTGTCTGACTTATTTTTTTTAACTTAAATTTGATTTTTTTTCAGACGGATAATGCAGCAAAGTTTAAATTGATTGCATTCTTATCCAAGCTGACAGCAAGCCAAAACTTTAGTATAACGAAATGTACAATTTAATTCGGTTCTGCAAAAAAATTCTGCTCTATGAAAGGAAACACACAGCAGCTGCTGCTCTGAGACAGAAGAGCAAAAGAGCAACAGTTTACCCAGGCTCAGTTTTATTTTGTCAGCAAAACTGAACCTAGCTTTAGATTTGAAAAGCAAAAATTATTCAATGAAGAAAAATGAAAACCCATGCAATCTATCTTTATATCCTTGGACCTGACCATTTGTTTGAGGACTAGGTGTGTTAAATAGGCTACTTGAGAGCTTTTCTTTCGTCGATGACTAATTACAATAGGGAACTGAATAAAATGACAGTGTTGATACTCACAGGTCCTAACGAGCAGGTTAGGTATAAGATCAGCATTCGTTTAGACATATCCATTTCAGCCGATTCAGCAGTTGCCTGAGAGCGCTTCCCAAAAGTACGGATGCAGAGAGACAAGTTGACGGCCGAAAAGTAACTGACAAAGAATCCGAAGCGTCAGCCAACTATACGCTGTGCGCGCGAGAGCTCCGGTGCGCGTCGGTTCACCAGCCGGACTTCGTCGCCAAACCTGTCCATGTTTATCCCTAACATGAAAAACACTTCATTCATAAGCGACTCTGGAATGATGGGAAGCCATTCACAACAGGCGTTTGCATGAACCACGTAGATACGTGACAAGCGCGAGGTGGACTGTAATTCCAAGGCTGTCGACCCACGTCCTAAACTCTCACTTCCAAAGTAGGTGTGTGTGTGTGTGTGTGTGTGTGTGTGAGTGTGCATGTTTATGTGGTTTATGAGGACACAAATTTGTATAATAACATGGGTATGACATAGGTATTACAACGAGAAGGTGATTTATGAGGACATTTTCAGTGTCCCCGTAATTCAAAAGGCTTATAAATAATTCAGAATGAGTTTTTTTGGAAATCTAAAAATGCAGAAAGTTTCCTGTGAGGGGTAGGTTTAGGGGTAGGGTTGATGTAGGGCAATAGAAAATACGGTCTGTACAGTATAAAAACCATTACGCCTATAGAGAGTCCCCATAAACCATAAAAACAAACCTGTGTGTGTGTGTGTGTGTGTGTGTGTGAGAGTGTGTGTAGTCTATAATATACTATACTGTACTATACTATAGCAGCAGCAGCACAGCCCTGAATAACAGCGTTAAATGACTCATTCTCTGTCTTAACCTGTCCGCACAGCACAGCTCCTGCGTTCTTTTCATTAGGGCACAGATACTGTTCTCTAATCTTGTAAACTGTCATCCATGCACAGCTTTTGCTCTTTTTTCTCTTAAATTGTTAACTAAAACGGAACCTCTGCTCTCTTAAACTACCATCTATATCACAGCTTCTGATTTCTTCAACTCCTTGTCCATTAAACTGCTTCTCTTAAATTATCTTCTGTAGTTAAACAGAATGTTATGTAATATTGTGACGTCATGTAAGACAACTTTATAAACTAACACACCAACACAAATAGGCCTATGTGAGCTCTTGCCTTCTCAAGTTGCCAATAATCACCACTGGAACTGCTGTTGGAAGTGCCTCTGGAATTTTTAATAAATGTAAATTATTTCCTGGGAATTTCTTTCATTTACAGATAATTAAAAAAAGCTGATATGTAAATGCATATGTGCTTGTAGCATGAAATCAATCATTTTAAAAGTATAATGGCGAGAGTCTAATATAGATTAGCCAGCCCATGGAGATCTTATATGTTCATTTATTTTCAAAAGAACAAGAGAAGAAGTGACTCAGTGCAGCCTGTAGATAAAAACATTCTCAAGGAAATGTGTGTTAAATGGTGCAAAACGTGTGCTCCATTTCTGTTATTTATCTATTGATATTTAGTGGCTAAAAACGAAAGGTGTGAAATACACATTCAACTTGCCATGCATTAAATTACTGACTTTGCACTCCAGCATAAAATTGGCCCAAGATCTGTGAATACCAATATATACAATCTGTTACAGGGCTGACGAGACGTGAGACATGCGGATCCATGTGCAAGCAGAGGAGGTCAGAAACATAGGCAGGGTCGAACAGTGGCAAACAGGTATATGGCGGGCAAGACACAAGAATAATCCTAGGGCTAGCGAAGGTCAATGAACAGCGAACAGAATCAAAAGGGCAAGACTAAAAGGGATAAATCCAGGAAAACAGGCAAAGATCAGAAACCGAGAAAACAGACAAGGCAAGGCAAGACTAGGCTAGGAAGCTAACGAGGGCTCTGTAGAGTAGCTATCAAAACGATACACGCTAAACAATACTCGGCAGTTAGAAGGAGTGAGATGGAGTGTTAAATAGTGAGTGAGTGATATGAAACAGCTGTGTGCAATCAGTGCTGTGTGCAATCAGTGCAATGAATGATGGGATATGTAGTCCGGGGTGATATGCAACAGTGTGTAGTGCGAGAGTCAATGAAAATGGAAAGGGTGACCTCTGATGGCTAGCAGACGGAAGTTCATGGACAGGATACGTAACAGAAACATGAAAGAAGCAAAAACATATTTGGTTCATTTAACTTTTGTGTAATGGCATCCTGGTTTTTTAAAAATGTGCTTTTAACTCTTGTGAAATGGTATCCTGGTGTTTTGTTCTGTTTCGTTTGGATGAGTCACAGACCTAACTGGTCTGCAGAATGCCATAAAATTCTACTAACTCTACTAACCGTGGAATGAACCATATAGTGCCATGATACTGAAAAGTGTTTATACAATCTGCTTAAAGTTCCTCTTTCTCAATTCTGACTTCTGAGTCCTAATTTTAAAGGCAGTCTATCTGAATTACTCACCTGTGTGTTATCAACTTACCTGATCAATAATGTGTCTTAAAGTTATCACGTTCCCTTCCCTTGGCCATGGCTTTGTGATGGAGAAAGAATATAACACTTCTTATCTCATGCTTCATCTATCACTATCTTCTGGACATGGGGTCTCCAACCTTTTTGTGAGGGAGGGCTCCCTGAAGGGATAAAATAGTCTCAAGGGCTACTTGTTTGATATACTCCAAATATATATATATATATATATATTATTTTTTT